TCATATTATTTCACTGTTGTAGGAGGCGACACAAAATGTAGTTGATGAAGTTTCGTATAAACGAAATCACGAGTGCCTAGTGTTAGAATATAAGAAGAAAAATGTCAACAATACTGTCATCACCAAGTTAATGAAGCTTACCTATGATGCCCGTCGAGTAGATATTTCTTCATGCCTCATTCGGTTAACAGAAATCCTTGAAAAATACCCTTTCTTTGGAAGTAAAATATGGGTATGTACATGTACAGTGCATGTTACTATTTTATTTAAAGATTTCTTTATATCCAGGTGTGCACTGAGTTTGAAATGATGGTTGGTGAGGGGAAAATAGATTTGATGAAAACAAATTGGGAAAAATATTTACCAATCATCATGAGCACAACAGATGAGTCGACATCGCCATCTTCGCCAGCTGTTCTTCAAATTCTAGATAAAAATTTTCGTAGTGGACCAACATACAAACAGCAAGGGATATTTCAAATTTATAAGGTATAATACACAAAATGTAAAAGACTGTCACTTGTTTTACTTACATGTGCCTTTATAGAATTCCACTGATATTGACACAGTAATTGTCGACAGCAGCTTCCCTGAACCACGACTTGTTCTTTTTGAAGGAGACAGTAGTAGTACTATCACACAAGGCTTTATAGTAGCTGAAAAAAACGTAATTTTTGAAATCATCAACTTCTCTGTTTTTGAAGGTCTTGTATCACTCCTGGCTACATATTACATATTTCATGTCAACTACCCCAAGTCCATACCTGCATCTTCCTTGCTGTATTTCATCCAAGAGCATCTCCTGGAATTTAATGATCCTGCAAGTAAGAAACCAGCCAGATACAAGGCATTTATCAATACTTTAAAGAAGGCAGCTGACCAGGAAAAAGAACAATTGATAGAACCATAGAACCATCATGTATCATACCATAGATATTAAATGACAGGGATTGGAAACGGAAGCGTGGGCGTAGCCCAAACTCCATTCATTTGTATTGCTGCTAGGCTGACAGAGGCTCGTTGAAATTTTTTGTCACAATTTACCCTTGATTTTTTTTCTCTTAGAAATAATATCTCGCGAACAAGTGTTCCTATGCAAGTGGAATTAATGCATCAAGAAGCCTAATGTTTCCTCTTAATAATTCTGTTTTCTATTGTATAGATAATTTTACTATGTTCATGTTATGGCTCTTTTAAAACCATAAAATGTATTTTTGTCATTATAATCCCTTTTTTGAAAACAAGCTAGAGTAAGATACAAAATCTTTATAATCATATGAAAGAGCTTTCATTTGCATATGGAATGATACTAGTTAGAGTTAGAATCCATGAAGCATGAGTTTGTTACAACAGAAAAAGGGCGAAAAATGAAAAAATTTTGTTGTACCTATAACTCGTTGCAAAATAGCGTTGTAGAAGTAAAAACCTTGCTGCAGGTAGTCCTAAACTTTCTATATGGAACGGTAGGTATATCATAAGTAAGCGTCCTCTTGGATTTCCATAAATATCCTTCGAAGTCCTTGCAGCACAGCCTCACTAATGGAGGAGATGGGAAATCAACCAGGTATTGGGCCGGTAACCAATAGCAACATCAACTAGCCTACGCCCCCGTTTCCAATCCCTTTCATTTACTCTATTATCTATGATCATACATAGACACTGGAACACACCCATATTGGAATATTGATTAATATTCATAGTTATTAATAACAACAAATTATTTATTATTAAAA